ACATAATTATGTCTGTGAGAGTCCCCACTGGAATCCAGGAACAAGCCTGTGTGCATGTGGTATATGTGGTTTACAAGAACACAGTTGTTTAATGAAATGGACATGAACTAGCTGTGCGCTGTTAAGGTGGTTTACAGGGTCACACTTCATGTCATTTTAATTCAAATCAATTAAAAAATATTCTTAACTGGGTCTTTTGACATGCAAAATTTGCCACAGGTTTCCTGTGAGAGTTATCTTTAGAGGTAGAGGTGAAGCAGAGCCATTAAATAAGTGATTTTTACAGTGTTAATTAATGTACATTAGACCTATGAAGTGACCATGTAAACAACCACATATATAAATGTATGTGTGGGTGTGTGTGATATTCAAAAATCCATGCTTACGTTCTCCAACCCAACCCCCCTCCTTTACCTCTGTTTCCACCATTAGCCCATTGTATCCTAATGTTTTCATGATATTAATTTGTAACAGTGCATTAGCAGCACATGAAGGGAACGGCTGTTTATGTCCCGAATAATGACAAAACCTAAGCTGCCTGTTTTTTTTTTTTTTTTTTTATTTCTGTCTGTTTGCTTTCAGGCACTGCTAACTGTGAAAAGCGGCCCGCCTCTGTGCGTTTCTGCGCAGGCATGTGCAACCGGGCTGCTTTTAACATATTTCACGCCACTTTGTGCAGAAAATCAGAACTGCGCTGTGGGAGGAGAAACAGCAGATGACTGACAGGAGGAACAGATTCTGACGGGAAGGACACAGCTTGTGCTGAGCTCAGGAAGTTTGGGAGACATTCATTTTTTTTTTTTTTTTTTTTTTTTTGCAGTTAAGTTGGATATTTGAAAACATCCCAAAGCAGCTGTTTCTATAGCTAACTTTACAATCAATCAATCAATCAATCAATCAATCAATCAATCAATCAGTCAATCAATCAATCAATCAATCTGTCAGTAATGGATATTGTTTCAAAAGTTTTATATTGCAAATAAGACTGTAGATTTGAACTTTCTGATCATTTCTTTAGAATCCTGAAAGACATATCATGGTTTACATTAAAAAAGAATTATGTTTACAATAAAAAATATAAATATAGTTAATTATACTGTCAATTAAATTTAATAATGCTGAAAACAAAACAAAACAAAAAAACAATGATGACATTTTGATATTTGTTATATTAATTATGACTATGTTGCATACAGTATATATTTTCTTTTTTGTTAAAGAAATAACTCTTTTTTATTAAAAAATTAAGGCATTTTTACAGAATATTATAACATTTTTATCTTATTTACTTATTCATTTAATAACTAAATTTATTTATTTATTTATTTATTTTCATGTCATGTTTGGTCCTCACATATCTTGCAAGAATATCATGGTATTTTTACCAAACAGTTTTACTTTTTTATGCTTTAGCAAAATAATCTCTCTATAAATAAATGAAATGGGGGACAATTATTAATTAATATTCTTTCAAACCTGTTTTCTTATTACTTCTGACATTACTTGAATCAATTTAGCCAATTTCTGGGTCTGACAGGAACACATTTAGCTTAGCTTAGCATAAATCATTGAATCGGATTAGACCATTAGCACCTCAGTCCAAAATTACCAAATTGTTTTTCCTATTTAGAGCTTGACTCTTGTGTAGTTACATCACATACTTACAAATTAGCAGACATAAAATTAGCATAAAATTAACAAAAAATTACTTCTGACATCGACCAAAAACTAAACAAGACATTATAATAATCATAATTTCACACAATAAATAATATAATATAATATAATATAATATAATATAATACAATATAATATAATGTAATTAATATAATATAATATAATATAATATAATATAATATAATATAATATAATATAATATAATATAAAATAAAATAAAATTAAATAATATAATATAATATAATATAATACAGTATAATATAATATGATTAATATAATATAAAATAAAATAATATAATATAATATAATATAATATAATATAATACAATACAATATAATATAATATGATTAATATAATATAAAATAATATAATATAAAATAATATAATATAATATAATATAATATAATATAATATAATATAATATAATATAATATAATATAATATAATATAATTTGAATGAATAATATTTAAAAATGAAATAAAAAACCTGTTTCACCTTAAAGGCATTAAATATTAAGGTCCATTTGATTGGTCTAAGAAACAGCTTCGGCTCTGACCCTCATGAATTTAAATAGCTGGAACTGTTAGTCCATCTCACTATCTCTCTTTCTCTTTCTCACACACACACACACACACACACACACACACACACACACACACGCACACACACAGACCCTTTACCAGCTCTCGCTCTCTTAATGAAAGGAATAAGCCCTCATTTCCTCATCTCATCATACAGTAATGTGACAACTCTGCTATGGTGAGACGCCAAGGGAGAAACACTTTACCTGAAATGAGTGTGCATATGTGCGTGCGTATGTATGTGTGTAAGAAACCGAGAGAGAGAATGTGCTACCATGTGTGCATTGCACCTCAATGAAAAGCTATTCCCCAGCAGGCTTGTAATACGCATCCGCTGTACACCAAACCATCTGCACAGGCTGAAGTTTTTTTCATAAGATCTCCAGCGCTGCTCACAGAATGCAGAATTATGGGAAGGTTCCTGAATGCCAAACTGACCAGCGTGGGTGTAAACAGTTACATTCAGAGCTCAATGATAGTCTCACTTAGTCAGGCTGGCCTGGAAGACTTGTCTACTTGTTCATTCATTCCTTCATTCATTTTCATCTGCTTTGCCGGGGCCGGGTTGCGAGGGCAGCAGTCTTAGGAGAGAACCCCAGACTTCCCTCTCCCCTAGACACTTCCTCTAGCTCCTCCGAGGTTATCCTGAAGTGTTCCCAGGCCAGCTGAGTAAACATAGTCCCTCTAGCATGTCCTGGGTCTTTCCCAAGGCCTCCTCCCGGTGGGACTTGGCTGGAACACCTCCTAAGATGAGCGTCCAGGAGGCATTCAAAACCATGCCCAAGCCACCTCAGCTGACTTTTCACGATGTGGAGGGGCAATGGCTCTACTCCAAGGTTCTCCCGGGTGACAGAGTTCCTCACCCTATAAGGGTGCACCTTGCCGGTCTGCGAAGGAAACTCATTTTGGTTGCTTGTATCCTAAATCTTTTCCATTCGGTCATGACCCAAAGCTCATGACCATAGGTGAGAGTAGAAATGTATTGACCCTTGCTTCTGGTGTCCACCATCAGGTTTGTGGATTGCCGCCTCAACAAGCACCACAGACCTTACGGCCACAGCTCCTCACTGGCACATCAACAATGGAGTCAGAGAACATGGACCACTTGGACTTGTCTCCAGCCTCCATCGGGATCTAGTCAAAGCTCTTCCGGAGTTGAGAGTTGAACAACCCTCTGACTTAAAGTTCAGCCAGATGATCCCAGATGACCCTCACAATACGTTTGGGCCTGCCAGGGCTGTCCAGTTTTCCCTCATGCCAGCGGATCCAACTTACCAGGTCAGGCATAGGTCTCTCACTGTGGTTTATGAAAACTAACTAAGAATTATACTATAAAAGTAAAATAAAAGTAAAAAAACTACTAATTATTATACTGTGACTCTTATATTGTGAAATAATTTAAATTGTGACTCTATATGTATATGGGGATGTTGACAGGTTATTTAACCGTTTTAAATGTTTGCAATTAAATAACTTTGTTGTAATTAAAACACACATATCTAAAATTCCCTGGCTTTTCCTAAATATGTGTTTATTTCCTTCCGACATTGTTATTTTATTAAAATTACAAAACACAAAATAGTTATGATTATTTCTACCTTAGAACTAAGATTTCAGTGTCTGTTACTTTACCCCATGATTTTAAATATGCATGCCTCTGTTGCCTAACAACTTCCTGCTATCAAAAATATTTCTGATTGCAAAAAAAAAAAAAAAAACATAATTTAACTTCAGATATGTCTAAACAGCATATTCAGTGTTGTGAAAAAGCCTTCTCGTCTGCTTGAGTAAGTGAAAATGAAAGGGAGTTGCTGACATTTCTGTGTATTCTTATGTAGCCTAACTATACCTTTATAGGATGTATTATCTAAAAGATCCTATTTTTAGGGTGAAGACTTAATTCAATATGATGACAGACATTCAAAGCTTAATTTTAAAATCTCAATAGAAGCTTTGAATGTAAATATCCCTTATATGAGAACGATCAGAATGACTATGGTAATTCTAGTAGTTTTACAATTCTGGTAGTTCCAAAGGAACTCTCCACTTTTTTTTTTTTTTTTTTTTTGAAAATTAGCTTATTTTACAACTCTCCTAGAGTTAAACAGTTTAGTTTGACCATTTTTAAATCCATCCAGACAATTTCTGGGTCTAATACTTTTAGCTTAGCTTAGCATAGATCACTGAACTGGATTAGACCATTAGTATCTCAATCCAAAATGACCAAATAGTTTTGAATGTTTTCCTATATAGAGCTTAACTATTCTGTAGTTGTATCTTTTTTTAAGACTGACATGAAATTAGCTGTTTTCTACAACGATATGACTAGTGATTATACACTCATTCTGGTATAATAATCGCTTAAACAGCCATTAATAATGTGTAATAATGGCAATTAACGTCCAATTATAATTGTTATTTATCAGCAACATCTGTAATCTTAATATAATTTTGCATACTGCTAGGCCTACAATAGGTGATATGTTATTTTGTCCAACTGTTCATTCCTAGACCCTTAAATCACATTTTTTATTTAGAATATGGAACAAGTGTTATCAGATCTTTACAAATTAAAAAAAAAAAAAAACAGTAGTCACATTGTCACATACACCAACTGTAGTAATTACAATTCAGGTATTGACTCAACATCAAGGCCATAATTGCAGCTTCCGGCCATACTGAGCTTTAAATGACCAGATCAATAAATCTGATCATGTTCAGTTCTTACCTCTTCAAGTCGCACCAGGAAGGTCACATTGCTGCCCATGTTTGCTGTGAGTTTTTCGTCACGTGTTGTCAGGACTAAACCACGTGGCGGGCGGTTCGGACACTGCTGTTTTCTGGCCGTGTACATTTCCTTCACACCTTTAGTGCAGTTATTGGCTACCACCTTACGATATCTGAAACAAACAAACAAACAAACAAACAATAAATAAATAAATAAATACATAAAACTACCTTGAAACAAGAGGCTTTTCCACTAAAATTTGTGATTAAATATAGATTTATGTAGTAAATGCGTTTGGGGTGTTTGCAAACAAAAAAGTGGTCCTAAATTCAGTTTAAGACACTTAAGCATATTAAATATATAATAAAAGACCCAATAATTGCTTTCAGTGGTTTAATGTTTAAGGCCGAGGAAACAGGAACTGTAATTTGGCTTAATATGATGATTAAAAGTTCCTCATCTCTTTGACTTAACATTTGAAAGTTGTCAATTTCAAAATAAGAGTCAATAACTTGCTTTTGATTTACTATTGATTTGCATAATGTTATTTGAATTTCAAGTAGCTTAAATGTATAATAAAAGTCTTAATTATTGTTTTCAGTGGTTTAAATATTGGGGCTGGGGGAACAAGAACTGTGATTCGGCTTAATATGATGATGAGACGTTCCTTATCTGTTTGACTTAGCATTTAAAAATAGTACATTTCAAAATAAGAGTCAACTATGTTGATTAAACACTCCTCATCTGTTTGATTTAGCATTTGAAATCAGTAAATTTCAAAATAGGAGTCAATTATGATGATTAAATGTTCCTCTTCTTTTTGACTTAGCATTTGAAAGAAGTTCATTTCAAAATGAGAATCAATTACGATGATTAAACGTTCCTCTTTGTTTGACTAAGCATTTGAAAGAAGCGAATTTCAAAATAAGAGTCAATTAATTACTTATGATTTACTGTGGTATTTGAAAATTAAGTAGCTTAAGAAGCTGCTTTGACAAAATTTACATTGCAAAAGCGCTATACAAATAAAGGTGAATTGAATAAAAAATGTATAATGAAAGTGTCAATTATTACTTTCAGTGGTTTAACAAGAACTGGAAACAAGAACTGTGATGCGGCTTAATATGATGATTAAACTTTCCACATAGGTTTGATTTAGCATTTGAAAGTATTAAATTTTAAAATACGAGTCAAGTAATTGCTTATGATATACTGTTGATTTACATGGTGATATCTGAATCTTAAGTTTATTAAATGTATAATAAAAGTCTTAATTATTATTTTATTGGTTTAAAACAAGGGTTGCCAACCCTGTTCCTGGAGAGCCACCTTCCTGCAGATTTCAGTTGCAACCCATATCAAACACACCTGCCTGTAATTATTACATGGTGTTCAGGTCCTAATTGATTGGTTCAGGTGTGTTTGATATGGGTAGCAACTGAAATCTGCAGGAAGGTGGCTCTCCAGGAACAGGGTTGGCCACACCTAGTTTAAAATATGAGGCCATGGAAACATGAACTGTGATTTGGCTTAATACGGTGAATAAACCTGCCTCATAGCATTTGAAAGTAATAAATTCATGATTTATGATTTACTATTGATTTAAATAATAACATTTAAATCATAAGTATCTTTAAATGTATATTGGAAGTATTAATATTGTTTTCAGAGGTTTAAAAGTTGAGCCCTAAGAAACAGGAACTGTGATTAGGCTAAATATAATGATTAAATCTCCCTCAGCTGTTTAATTTAGCATTTGAAAGAAGTAGATTTCAAAATAAGAGTCAAGTAATTGCTTATGATTTATTATCGATTTACGTAATGATATTTGAATCTTAATGCAATTTACATGTGTTTAACAGTGCATAGTATCGCCCCAATCTGGCTGACAGAGCAGATGGAAGTAATAAAAGTTTTTTTCAAAATAAGAGTCTGAGTGTGTTTCAGGGTTTTTATGACACTGTTGATCAATTATGACAATGTTATGGCATTTGTGTTGTAATATATTTAAAATGGCTGTAACAGCCCATCACCCTCTTTTGTTTTTAATTGAGCAGCTGGAGGTAGTAAATACATATCAAATTAAGAGTCTGAGTGTATATAAGGCTTGTTTATGGAAAGATGATGATGATAGTTTAAAAATAAGGATATTTTTGTATTATATAATATATTTCATATGTTTTACTGTGTTCATTCATTCTCATTCATTTGTTTAACTGAGCATTGGTAAGTCGTAAATACATATCAAAATAAGAGTCTGAGTGTATTTTATAACACTGTTGCTCAATTATGACAATGCTATGGTGTTTGTTTTGTAACATATTTAAAATAATTTTGAAAAGTCCTTCTTTTGTTTTATCGATCAAGTAGAAGTAGTGAATGCATTTCAAAATAAGAGTCTGAGCGTATTTTAAGCCTGTTTATGGAAGGTGATGTTTTTAACAATGCTCATTTTTAAATTGCTCATTTTTTCTCCGTCATTTGTTTGATTGAGCAGCTGGAAGTAGTAAAC